AAATTATAAAGCTAGCGTTTTGTGAAGCAAGGTTCCCACTAAACTCACCAATAAAGTGGTCCGATACATGCAGAGACGGTGTTCGTGTAATTGGTGGGTGACTGGAAGAGAGGCACTTCTTTCGAGCTCGCATCTCGGTGAACGGTTATCTGTAAATTGTGCTAATGTTTTTGTAGCTATGCATAGCTTTACTGATAAGCTTAAAACAAACATTTGGCTCCAGTAACGAACTCATGGTTTGAAAATTGTAACCCCAACACAAAGTCAGTATATAATAGTGTCGAGTCAAGGAAAAACCCATTGAGGTGATCATTGGCTGTATCAAAACGATTTTGCTTTGTATTACTTGTGTGCTTTCCTCTGAATTCACTAGACGTTTTGACCTGTGCGCTTTCGCTTGAATGAATAACAAAACCAAAGTTTATTCGTGGGCAAAATGTTTTAACAAAGCTCAAGGAAAGAAGGGTTTTAACTTAAAGAAAAAAGGAATTGCTTTGATGAAAATTGTACCTAGTAATTGTGAAAGTATCTAGTAAAAGAAAACAGCTTTCACAAGACTAAATGGAAAAGAAGGCGTCCTTATATACGCGTTTGAGCGCGACATTGTTTAGGGTACGGTATTTCTGGTATCTTATTAGATGGCGGCAGCTTTTTGGTGACTCGTCGTCAAAAGAATTCACAAATTAACAGTTATTAGAAGTTGCAGAAAAAGGGGAAAAGGTTTATTGCCGATATTCAGAAAAAGATTCTCCTGATGAACTCGATTCTCGAATCCTTTTAATACGCGCCACATTGTTCAGACTACGGTACTTCTATTGTCTGCCTCTTTCTGTCTGTCTGTCATTGTTTAGGGTACGGTATTTGACTGTGGCAGCTTTTTGGTGACTCGTCATCACAGGTTGGACACTATTATAGACTAGAAGATCAGCGCTGGACTAATTGAGTGATCAAAGCCATTCCAAAAGTCCATAACTACAAGTCAAGTTAGGCCAGCCTAGAACCAGTCTGGAAGATTTGATAGGAGAACTCATAGGAGTAGTCCTATGGCACTACTCATAGGAGTAGTCCAACTATGAACCAATTTAGATCCGACCCAAACAAAAATTCCTTTTGAAACATTCACGCAATAGAAATTTTCTTTCAAAAGAAACTAGAACATACTTTTTCTTTTATTTTCTGTACAATCCTTACCATCTTTGGGATTTGCCCGTTATAAACTTTGGAAGCGATATCGTAATGCCAATATGGACACGATTCCCTATTCGGACAACGGACTAAAATTATTTTTATTCATTTTTACTAACAAATCAACTTTTCACCGGAATTCGTGCACTTATTCCATTCGATTCCCAATTTCTTTCCATCAATCGAGATATCGATTTTGCCGCCTCGTCCAGCGCATGTCGCTGTCACTAATAAGCGGATACGAGGGCCAGCTGGGTCTCTAGAATATACAATATCATATTCTTCCGAATAAACCCAATCAACCACCCAGTTTTCATTTGATTAGCCCAATTTTGATATCATTCAAAAAGAATTACAAGACTCATTGTCAGTCTGAATGATAATGATAATTGGGTTGGTGAATTGAAAACTGCGGGACTTTGAACTAAAATTTATTCAACATAAAACCCTCATTTCATTCCAAATAATTTCCATTATTATTGACGACTTCTGCCCATTTTACAGGCAATTTACGGATTCCTCTTTCATGGTAGGATTCTGGTTTGTGTGTGAGACAAGTATGAGACTCAAAAATGGAGGACTGGAGATCTGGAGATGTCCCAGTTTGAGCACTTTCCTCAAAAGAAACCCATTTTGGTGTCAATAGAAAAGTTGTAGAGAATCAAAAATGAGGCTTATAGCCAGATTCCCAAAAATATACACTTAGTAGTTTCGCTTAAAATGCAAGTTTTGTGAAAATTCGTAAATTTGGCGTTTCTTGAAAACGAGTTTTTGAATCGTTCTGAAAATTTGGATATAAGCTTGATTTTTGATTCTCTACAACTTTTCTATTGACACCAAAATGGGTTTCTTTTGAAGAAGGTGCTCAAACTGTCACATTTGACAATAGCCGGCAGTTTTCAATTCACCAACCCAATAATTGAGATAATAAAATTCGAGTTGATTGAATGCCATTTTCTTATTGAAATCTTTTAGAAAACATATTGAGCTCTCAATTTAGACTTTCCAATTAGCTATTCCAATTAGCTATTTTTGAAAAAATCAGAATTCCTTGCCTTAAATCGTAGAAAGCTTTGTGCAAGAACAACTCATCGCCCGTCAATGGTCCTTCTTTATAAAAAGATTTATCCCAATTCGTTCCATATGTGAAATTCCGTGTAGGATTGCCGAAATCGAGCACCGATGGGAGTAAATGATAAGGAATTTGGGCGTTTGAATATTGATGAAAGATGAAATCACGAATCCAAACGATGTAACACAAAGTGAAAATCGAGAAAATCACGAGGAAACCCTGGAATGAAATTAAGTTGCAAAGTTTCCAATTTTCAGAGATTAAAACTAATATTTTTCTTATAGTTAGCACTTCTTAATGTGATTTATCTAGTCGACTCTTTGCTCTGTTTTTTACATCAGAAAAACTCTCGGCTCTTGTGTAGTTTCCGGGTATCTTCAAAGAATCCGGGTATTTTGCAACAGCTCGTCACACTTGGAAGGCCTATAACTTTGTCTAGAGATAATATTTTTGCTAGCTTTTTATATCATTGTACAGAGGACATTTTAGGTTTTCAAATGATATAAAATAGAGCTTGATTGGATAATCGAGTCCAAGAAAATCAAAGCCAGCTCTAAGCAAATGAGACCTATCCAACTCGTTGTTGTGTCGCCTGGTTTGGATGGGAATGAAAAAACCAATTAAGCTCTATTTGGTATCATTTGAAAGCCTAAAATGTCCTCTGTACAATGATATAAAAAGCTAGTAGAAATATTATCTCTAGACAAAGTTATAGGCCTTCCAAGTGTGACGAGCCGTTGCAAAATACCCAGATTCTTCCAAAATATCCAGATTCTTTCAAGATACCCGAAAACTACGCAAGAGCCAAACTTTGATTCGGGGCTATCGAATGACTATAATAGTTTAGTTTATCTTTGAAAATGAGGAACGAGAAGCTAGAAATGTTTTGATCTAAATCTTGACAGAAACAAGACTCGATTTGGGTAATCCCCTGCGTTTAACTTATTCACAACGACCGTACTAATGACGATTATTGTTGGTCTCAACTCAAGTTGATTTTTGTTATTTATTTCACAGAAAGTTCTCGATAACTTTGTCCTAGTTTTCAAGAGGAGATTCAGAGCTATCGAATGACTATAATAGTTTTGTTTAACTTTGAATTTTCACCAAATTACCAGTAAAACAATCACGACTACGCGATTGTACGCTCGAAATAATGCCTCAAAATGTGTTAAAAACTTGCAAGTAACTAGTTAGAAATATCTCAATTGTTAACTTTACTCTTTTAAAATGTTGTACTGACTTTAGAATGCTTTTTTTGACTGCAGAATTCTCGATAGGAAATTCTGAAAAGCAGTAGCAATGCCTTTGGTATTTGGATTCCAAGCCACTTCAAAGTCGGGGGTGGGACAAATGCGACCATTTTTTTGCGCACCTGGACATTTGCGCACCTTTTTTCTGCTGGAAAAGGCCTTAGGAAAGATCGTAGAGCTTCAAAAATATTTCCATATAAGGGAATCGTTTCCGATTTTTTAGATTCCGAGATTCCGAATTTCGACAAATCAGACCTCGCTGACACGTCAAATTTGGGCTAAAAGGCAAAAGCTACGCAACTGAACGCTTTTCCGCAGTTTTTGTCTTTTAGCCCAAATTTGACGTGTCAGCGAGGTCTGATTTGTCGAAATTCGGAATCTACGCATACGATACGATATGGAAATATTTTCGAAGCTTTACGGCCTTGCCTAAGGCCTTTTCCAGCAGAAAAAAGGTGCGCAAATGTTCAGGTGCGCAAAAAAATGGGCGCATTTGTCCCACCCCCTCAAAGTCGACTCACCTTGAAACTGAACTTCATCGAAATCCAATTGAAAATTGATTGGTTAAATCGAAAGAAAATTCTATAAAATTTAACAAAAAAGAGACTAGACAAATATGAAAAAGAGATAAAGCGAAATCGTTTAATAATTCTTCCTTTTTCTTTCCTCTTTTCTCATATCAGTTCTCAAAACGTTTTAAAAAGAAAATTTTTGAATCGTAAAAGCTTGAGCTTTTACGATTCAAAAATTTTCTTTTTAAAACGTTTTCCGTTTGAAATACTTATTTTGGGTGGAGTCTCAAAGAGCTTATCTTTTTTTAAATTGAGTCTATTTTTCAAATACTTAACTGAAAATTGTGACTAAAAAGATTCAGGAGATGGGAGGAGAAAAGGAGAAAAGAGTGATTTTGAATGATCTAATGATTGATTGATTGATTGATTGATTGATTGATCGATTTTGTATATCAAAGTAACAAAGATAGTAACAAGCTGTAAAAGATTTGATTATAGATTTGATTACAGATTATAAAAAAGTTTGAATCTTCTACAGTATTTAGGTGAAGGTTTAGAAACGTTAAAAATTGTAAATACCAATCTTGCACAAACGAGTTAGATAAGCTTTCTGGAGTTTAACTTATTCTAGAGCTGAAATGTTTCTAAAAGCCAAAAGCCATGATTGTCAGGTCAAGCTAAACTAAAGCCAAGTCAGGCCAGACTTGACGTCATCCTATGACTTATAAATTATTGAAAATTGTTTAGAAGTGTACAATGTAGCCGAAAAATGAAAACGCAACTTACTTTGAGCACTCATTGTTAGTTCTTGAGTTTTATCTTTTGATATTAACTTCGAAAAGAATCAATTTTTGCTTTTGCAAGGTTTTCAATTTTACTTTTTCTTTTAAATTTCATTTTTAACAATTTCTAAACCCAAAAAAAACATTTATTACAGAAAATCAGTGAAATAATATTAATGGATTTAAAAGATATTCAGCCTGGGAATACGGTATTCAAAGAAGAATATGGTGGTGGTGGACCGTAATTGATCTCTTGTGGATTTTGTGCATATGGAGGAGCTGGCTCGGATGAGGGTTGAATGGGATATTGTGGATGAGAGGGGTACTGCTGTTGAGGGATTTGATGAACGTGTGAACCGGCAACACGACATCCTGGAACACCACAGAGACCCACTCCTAAACAAAAACTGATTGAACGAGTTCTTGGAAAAGTTTGTGGAAGTGATCAATCTTTCTGGGATTTTCAATTTTTAATTTTTGAAAATCAGGGATTTTTCCAAATAGTCTCTAGGGTTTATAAGCCAGGCCAGGCTAAAGTTCTAAAGCCAGTTCTAAAGCCAGGCCCAAAGCCAGAGCCAGGTCCAAAGCCAGAGCCAGGTCCAAAGCCAGAGCCAGGTCCAAAGCCAGTTCTAAAGCCAGGTCCAAAGCCAGTTCTAAAGCCAGGCCCAAACCTCCTGACTTCTAGCAAGTCAAGGGTACTTTCTACCCAGGAGTTTTTACAAGGCCTGGGTAAAGAATCTAGCGACTATCGACTAGCGATCTAGCAAAAGCCATCAAGCAACTATAAGCTTGTCATGAAACAACACTTTTTATCAAAAACGCCAAGAAGTACAAGAAGTAGGCCTACTGGAACGCATAAAGTCCAAACAGAGATGAAGTTTTTTAATCTAATCGGAATCCCAATGATTATTGGAGTGAAATCTCAAATTCGAATTCAAAAGCCATTCCAGAACGAGCATGATTACAGCAATTGTAAAGGATTTCCATCAATCAACTAATTTCCATTATTATTGACGACTTGTGCCCATTTTACAGGCAATTTGCGGATTCCTCTTTCGTGGTAGGATTCTGGTTTGTGTGTGAGACTCAAAAATGGAGGACTGGAGATGTCCCAGTTTGAGCACTTTCTTCAAAAGAAACCCATTTTGGTGTCAATGGAAAAGTTGTAGAGAATCAAAAATCAAGCTTATATCCAAATTTTCAGACCGATTCAAAAACTGGTTTTCAAGAAATGCCAAATTGACGAATTTTCACAAAACTTGCATTTTAAGCGAAACTACTAAGTGTATCTTTTTGGAAATTTGGCTATAAGCCTCATTTTTGATTCTCTTTTTGAGCTTCAATTCACATGGATCAGCTCGAGGTCTCCCAGCACACGACAGTAAAGTCTTCAAAGAGAGTCTTATCTATCAGGACTTTTCAACACAACGTAAAACAGCGATTGTGGATTGTCGACATTTTACCCTACTTTCTCAAATGGCGATTTTTTGATCTTTTTTCTTTAAAAACGCCCCTCTTAACCTGGGAATCGTAGCCCGGTTAGCTCAGTCGGTAGAGCACCAGACTCTTAATCTGGCTGTCGCGGGTTCGAGCCCCGCATCGGGCTGATGCTTTTTGATTTTTGGAAAATTCGCACAAATTGCAATTGAATATTCAACTGTTGTGAAAAGTCTAGAGATTTTTGACCAAGCCTGTGTTAAAGGATAACTCAATTTCTGTCGAAGCTTGGTAGATAAAAAGAAGGAATCCTTATTGAGAGAACCTTTCGGAGATGAGACTGGCCCCAGGTCTTTAGTATCTAGTAAAACCAGATGAAAGACTTTGGCCCAGGAAAGCATAGTTTAGTTATTATTGAGCCATTGAGCATTTTTTGAATTTATCTAGTTCATTCAATGAGTTCCTTTCCAATTTCCCACCATGTCTTGCGTCCAATTTGTGTTGTTTCCTTTGCATTCTCTCACAAACTCTTTCTTGTTTCCTTTCAGCTCTTTCCATTCGTCGTTCATCTCGACGAATACTCCTCTCCGTACGGTGATCATCGTCTTGTAAAGATCTCCTGCAATTCTTGAATTAACATTGCCTAGATTCAATTGCATACCTTTTAAATAGCTAGTAACTAAAGTGTGTTTCTCTCGAGTAAGTGATTAAAGCTAAGAAAAGTTAAAGCTGATGACGAAAATTTGAAGAGGTTCGCGCGTCAAACTTTTCGATGTTTATAGAAAGGCTAATCTGTAGCAAAGCTAAAGACAAAAGTAGCTTTTTTAACTTTTCTTTGGCTATTTTCTTTGCATAAATCTTTTCAAAGCAATCTTTTTCCGATCTGATTTTTGATTTGACTTTTTTTACGTCTTTTTACACCTAATGGCACCTAATGGCACCTAATTTTTAAACCTTTTTAAACCTAAAGATCTTTCAATTAGAGTGTGTTCGTCGGGAGTAAGTAGTTACTCGAGTAAAATTTGCATGAGTAATTTTTACACAATTAATCAATGTTTTTTCATCGAGAGTAACTACGAGCCAATCCTCTTTACACGTCGAGTAAATTGAATATCTTTACATGTGACGGGAATTTGCCACCAAATCACTTAAACGGCTGAATATCTTTAAAAAGAGTCGTATTATAAGTCGTTGCTCATGATTTTTTGCAATATTTTTCGCAAAAAGTACGGTAATTTTTCCTAAATGTGCGTTTTAAAAAACGCATTACTCTACTTGTAGGAACACACTCTACTCGGCTACGAGTGTCGGGCTAAGAGGGCCGTTTTTAAAGAAGAAAGGCCAAAAACGGAGGAACACACTCTACTCGTAACTATTGTTGCAATTGATTTAGTTTTATAAAGAAAGTTTCAAAAACGAATTTTTACAGCTATTACTATATGTGTGCCAAAAAGAAAAAGAGTCGTACTAGAGACTACGAGAAATTCAGTCGCTTTTCATATTCAAGAAACGTATCGATGCTTTAGATCTAGTGGCTCTTTGCCGTAAGTCAATTGGCTTATTGATTTCAGTATGTATTGTATGATTAAGTATCACTGTGCATTTCTCTATGATTTCTTTCACTTTATCGTTTGAATAAAGTATTATTATTATTATTATTTTCATTATTGAAGTTTTAAAAAAAAGTTTGAAATTCATGACAAAAATGATGTCAAAAATGTCGCTTTATGGAAAATTGACTATTCTAAATATTCTAGCTTTACTTATGAGGAGAGACTTGCTTTTTTTGAACTAAAAACTTTACAGCATCGTCGCTTTGTCATTGATTTAGTCGAAACTTTCAAAATCCTCCGTTGTAAACAGATTAGCCCTTTGTTTATAGATTTTTTCAAATTTAAAGCGCGGTCAGGGCCCAGAAGTGGCTCATTCCTTTTGCAAATTCCCTTTGCTTCCAATGCCTCTTTATCAAATTCATTTCCCGTTAGAGCCGCTAGATTATGGAACTTGCTCCCAAACGACATACGAGAAATTCAGTCGCTTTTCATATTCAAGAAACGTATCGATGCTTTAGATCTAGTGGCTCTTTGCCGTAAGTCAATTGGCTTATTGATTTCAGTATGTATTGTATGATTAAGTATCACTGTGCATTTCTCTATGATTTCTTTCACTTTATCGTTTGAATAAAGTATTATTATACTACCGTATTTTCTGTAATAGTAGTGCGCATTACTATTTTTTCAAGCCCCCTTCTGCCTGCACTACTATTACAGACTGCACTACTATTATAGACTGCACTACTATTACAGGAAATACGGTATAAGTCGTTGCTCACGATTTTTTGTAATATTTTTCGCAAAAAGTCTTCAAAGAGAGTCTTATCTATCGGTCTTATCTAATTTTTCCTAAATGTGCGTTTTAAAAAACGCATTACTCTTGAGGAACACACTCTACTCGTAACTATTGTTGCAATTGATTTAGTTTTATAAAGAAAGTTTCAAAAACTAATTTTGACAGCTATTACTACATGTCTGCCAAAAAAAAAATGCAAATCTAAGTATTTCCAACCTGATAGCTGATCCAATGAGTGCACCGGCGGGATTGTGAATGAAATGCGCTACGTGAAGCGCCTGTCGCACACCACCGTGCCCACCACCTGAATCCATCGTTTAATTCTAATCTATTAAAAGGTTTCTTAAGATTAAGTTATATTATCTCCAAAATTTTAAAGCTAAAAACCAATTCAATTCTTTAAACAAATCCAAAAAGCGAACCTCCCCCTCTGCCGCCATCACAATGATTCTGCACGTGAACGACGGTTGTTTGCGGTTGCCCTAAACTGGTAACTAAAATGGCTGCCCTAAGCTGATAACGAAATTGGCTGCCCTAAACTGGTAACTAAATTTAAAAGCCGGTTTTTGAATCGGAACCAATATTAGGTCAATAGTAGTAGTATAAATTTTGAATTACGAATATTCGATTACTTGTTTCACTTACCATATTGTCCAGGTACCGGTTGACCATATGAGACTTGTTGGGTGCTGTTTGGATTCATTTTTTTGATCTATAAACGAATTTTTTTGAGTACTAAGAAAAAAGTATTACGTTTTTTTACTTAAAATCATGTAATTATAAAGAAAAATGAGGGAAAAACGAGGAAATTGACTCGAGTCGAAATCGAAAGCAATTAGGCTGGATCAATTAAGCTGGATCATGCTTAGGATCAAAAAAAATGTAAAAATAGCCTCAAAATAAGCATCAAAATATCAAAAATGAATCTTTAGAGAAATTCAAACAAATTGCACAAATTGGACATTGAACTGTTGTGAAAAAGCAAGTGAAAAATTCAAAGAGATGGATGTTGCCAAGAATATAGAAAGAGATAGATGTTGCCAAGAATTAGGGCTACAATTCTCTATCTAATACTTGCCAATTTTGAAAACTTTACATTTCCCAGCTACTTTTTCAAAAAGTTGTCGCTTTCATTCTTTTCGACATTTTACCTTACTTTTTCAAATGCCAATTTTTGGGCCTTTTTTCTTTAAAAACGCCTCTCCTAGCCCGAGTCTTGTAGCCCGGTTAGCTCAGTCGGTAGAGCACCAGACTCTTAATCTGGCTGTCGCGGGTTCGAGCCCCGCATCGGGCTGATGCTTTTTGATTTTTGGAAAATTCTGGCAAATTGCACAAATTGAATATTCAATTGTTATGAAAAGTCTAGAGATTTTTAATCAAGCGTGTGTTAAAGGATAACTGAATTTCTGTCGAAACTCGCTAGATAAATGCGATGTGCAAAGAAAGAATCCTTATTATAGCGGATTATAGCGATAAGTTTTTGGAAAAATAGCAGGGAAATGTCTAATTTATTTCAAGAGTGATAAGTGTTAGATAGGGAATTGTAGCGCTTAATGTTGGCTACATTTATCTACTAAAAACTTTCCGATTCAACTTATACAACTCATTTAAAAAGCGCTTGAAGCTAGTCGACATCTCTCCGGCGAATCTGTCATTTTTCACGTTTCAAGCTCATTCAAGCGCTTATTAAATGAGTTGTATAAATTGAATCGAGAAGTTTTTGGTAGATAAATGTAGCCAAGAATTAGGGCTACAATTCCCTACCTAATACTTGCCACTTTTGCCACAATAAATTAGACATTTCCCAGCTACTTTTCCAAAAGCTTATCGCTATAATTCGCCAGTCACCTTGTAGTACTGCCAAAAATCTGCCTTTTACTGCCAAAGATCCTAGGCAAGGACATTTTTGTTTGGCAAACAAAAATATACCCCATGACTGCTTTCATGGTAAACTTAGGCTTTTATATTTTGAAAATACAATGAGTAAAAAGCTAAATGTCTAGTTCTAGTGGTAAACTAAAAGCTAAGCACATAAATTGAACTACAGTACTGGACAATGAAATATGATATTTGAAAAACGATCGTCACTTTTGCGCGCGCTGAAATGCGTCAAAAAAATACGGTATTTCTAAATATTAATATTACCATTGTGTAGCCCATGAAAAGAGCTTTCAGAAAATGTATAACACTAATAGTTTAAACTCAAAGACAAGGGAGTTACAGACGCGCGAAAGTGACGATCGTTTTTTAAATATCATATTTCATTGTCCAGTACTGTAGGTGCCAAAAGAAAGGCCAGAAAATGTAAATGAAACTGTTCAGAAACTGTTCAGAAGCTGTTCAGAAACTGTTTTCGAAAACTCTTGGGATAGCGAAAGGAAAGCCTTTCCGCCTTTCCGCTGGCAAAAATCAGTGTGCCAGAAATTCGAGAAAACCCTTCATTTTTTCGAAATTCAAATGGCTCTAACTTTGTGCGTTTTGCCGATTAGCGGTTTTTGAAAACAGTTTCTGAACGCGTACATTTGAAAAAAAGATCGTCACTTTCGCGCGTCTGTAACTCCCTTTTCTTTACCGTATTGTTTCTCTACAGGGTTCCTCTCCAGAAATAATTCTCGACGAATCTGACAAACAAACTGACGAACAAACTGACGACGAACAAAACTGATCAAGTTACGATTTGCTCTATCAGAAAGCTCTATTGTTTCTCTACAAAATTAGAGAAAGCAAAGACAAGGAAGTTACAGACGAGCGAAAGTGACGATCATTTTTCGATCAAATATCATATTTCATTGTCCAGTACTGTATCTACAATAATTTAAACGCAAAGCAATCTAATATCAAGACAAAAAAAAAACGAAAAATAAACCCATTTTGTACTCATTTCCCTTTTACTACAACTTCTAAGGTTTCCTTTTTTCAATCTAAAAAGTTATGACCCGATATTTTCAGGGAAAATTGCTTTTTTTCGCACTAATCCATTTCATTAATCAAATAGAAATCTTACAATTTTGACAACAAACACCAAATCGATAAATTAAATTTTTAAAAAAAGCATACCCAGTTGAGATCAAATTTCTAACCTTTTCTGGGAATATTTATAAGTAAAAGAAGAAAATTCCGAGGGTATTGCGATAAGGGAAAAAAAATGAGGGAAATTGGGGAGAAGTTAGAGAAAAAAGAGAAGGCACTATGTCAATACTAGAGAATTTTTCGATTTCTTTTCCCTACTTGAACTCCGATTTCGATGAGTCAAACGGTTTTGAAAGAATTTTGATTTATCACGTGGAAAAGTTTGACTTTTTTTGATGATTTGAGTTTAGTTTAAGCACTTGGAAATGTCGAAAAAATGATTATGAAAAGAATTTTTGAAAAAAAAGCTAATTGATCGGTTCAACAGCGACACAGAGAGTTAGAAATTGATTGTAAAATTTGATAATCTGAGATTAGGCTGTGGAGGATTCTTTGGAGTTAAAAAAGGCTGATGAACCAAATGAAATAAGAGTTGAATCAGAGCTACCGTAAATACTGTAATAGTACCCCACCCCCATAATGACGGGGCGGAGTGTTGCGTAGTCTAGCTTTGAACGAGTTTTTCTCGACACTGGTTTATGCTACAATGCTCGTTTAGGTATCAAAAAATAGCTGAAATTCAGGGCTATTTTTTGATACCAAAGACGTATTTTTTGAAAGTACGGGCGCTTTGAAAAAAATGAAATACGAAAAAAGATTTGCGACTACGCGACTGTACGAGGGAGGTGGGGTATTATTACAGTATTTACGGTAAGTGTCTAATGGAACAATGTACAAAGTAAAGTACTAGCATGCATTCTTGAAACGATTTTCTGCATTAGAAAAACTTTACGAGCACGGATTCAAAGTCAAAAATGCTAACAAGGAAACCTTCCCAAGTGACCCGCGAGTTACAATATGAGGTACACTACTGGACAATGAAATATGCTATTTGAAAAACGATCGTCACTTTCGCGCGTCTGTAACTCCCTTGTCTTTACCGTATTTCTAAATATTAATATTACCATTGTGTAGCCCTTGAAAAGAGCTTTCAGAAAATGTATAACACTAATAGTTTAAACTCAAAGACAAGGGAGTTACAGACGCGCGAAGGTGACGATCGTTTTTCAAATATCATATTTCATTGTCCAGTACTGTAGGTGCCAAAAGAAAGGCCAGAAAATGTAACTGAAACTGTTCAGAAACTGTTTTCGAAAACTCTTGGGATGGCGAAAGGAAAGCCTTTTCGCCTTTACGCTGGCAAAAATCGGTGTGCCAGAAATTCGAGAAAACCCTTCATTTTTTCGAAATTCAAATGGCTCTAACTTTGTGCGTTTTGCCAATTAGCGGTTTTTGAAAACAATTTCTGAACGTACATTTTCAGGCCTTTCTTTTGGCACCTACCTCATATTGTAACTCGCGGGTAACTTGGGAAGGTTCCCTTGTAAGATAAAAAAAAAAGACTTATCGTTTTTTCCAGCTTTTTTTTCTTATTGATCAATTTCTTATTGATCAATTTTTTATTTATCAATTTCTTATTATCAATCTCTTATTATCAATTTCTTATTGATAATGAAAGAGAATAATTTCAAAATTTGAGCCACATTTGTAGTGGAGCGGCTGAGAAGGGTCAGCTCAAAAAAACCACAAACTTTTATGACCGTAAAATTCGTCAGCCACCATGAAAACATATTCTTATTATCAACTTCTTATTTATCTTAATTCTTTCTGGCACACAGCCGTTTCAGTTACCCAATTTTGGGGTAAATTTAAAACACGAATTTCTCGCCTTTCCCAGCATAGAATTCTTTAAAATTTTGATACAAGATCCCTCTAATATTAATCTATATAATGTCAAAAAATCATATGTTTTCATGGTGGCTGACAAATTTTACGGTCATAAAAGTTTGTGGTTTTTTGAGCTGACCCTTCTCAGCCGCTCCACTAGAAATGTGGCTCAAATTTTGAAATTATTCTCTTTCATACTCCTACTATATAATACCCAAAAAATAGGAAGAAATCTATGGTGAAAAGAAAATTTACGGGCATGACAAAGTGTCGGACATTTCATTTCTGATAACCTAATACAATAAAAGACTTTAATGATCCTAGAAAAGAAGTCCAGAAAAAACAAAAACAAACAAAATATCAATGATCACACACACAAAATACATCCATAAAAATCCATAAAAAAACCTGATTTAGTGTCCATTTTTGGATTTTTTCTTTCTAAATTCGAAATCCTTTGTTCGATTTCGAATTTGAATCCCATTTCGAGTTCAGTGAATGGAAAAGTTGTCTGTAACGATTGAATGAACGGCTAGACGTGGCACTGTCAATGAGAATCGAGTAAATTTCAATGGATGAAGCTCTTTAAAAGTCAGCAACCGCCAAATCCAAAGCCAAAGCCAATCAAGTTGAGATGAGATCGCTGACCGTTGTCTTCCTTGGTGTTTGGTGGATGACTGTGGCCGTGGAAACGACAGCGCCTTGTGCTCAATGCTCGCTAGATCTGCCGACAGTCCTCACTCAACTCGACAGCAGCTACTTTGTCCCGTTCGATAATGACAATGTGATCGGGTTTGTGAGCTGAATGAAAGAATTGAGATCATTTGGTTCCTTTATAATTCCTTTATAGTTCCTTTATAGTTCCTATTTGGTTCCTTTAAAGTTCCTTTAAAGTTCCTTTAAAGTTCCTTTAAAGTTCCTTTAAAGTTCCTTTATAGTTCCTTTATAGTTCCTTTATAGTTCCTTTATAGTTCCTTTATAGTTCCTTATTGGTTCCTTTAAAGTTCCTTTATAGTTCCTATTTAGTTCCTTTAAAATCCTTTATAGTTATGATGTCGATGGGTGCGCTGTGCGCAACCTGACCTGCACTTCGAATCGGCCAGATAAAATTGGGCCGATGATTGAGGTGAAAATTCATTGTCTAACCTAGAAGTCCATTAAACTTTTTTCAAGAAGCTAAATGAAATTTCAGTTCAACAATGGGACTCTCGGCACGCTGCCCGGGGATTTAAATGAGACGGTGACAATTCAGCTGATCTGCAAGGAGAGCGGTGACTGGAAGATGACCCTATTCGGATTCACCAATCAAATCGACATTTTATCGTGTTTCGGTGCTTTCAGCAGCATCTTTCCGTGAAATCTAACCAGATATTTATCGTGTTTTGTTTTGTTTTTAATGAACTTTTTTATTTATGCTTACTTTTCGGACAAATCCAACATCCTAAATCCAACAAAATTTATTACCGTAAATACTATAAATGGTACCGCACCCCCCTCGTACAGTCGCGTAGTCGCAAAAGTTTTTTAGTATTTCATTGTTTTTCAAAGCACCCGTACTTTCAAAAAATGCGTCTTTGGTATCAAAAAATAGCCCTGGATTTCAACTATTTTTTGATACCTAAACGCGCATTGTAGCATAAACCAGTGCCGAGAAAAACTCGTTCAAAGCTAGACTACGCAACACTCCGCACCGTCATTATGGGCGGTGAGGTACTATTACAGTATTTACGGTATGAGCTTTAATAGACAGAAATATTCTGCTCGAACAATCAAACACTTTGATGAAATTCTAAGAAAGAAAATTTGCCAAACTTGCAAGAGAAGTTGGGTGTCTTTCGGCGATAAATTTTGCCGATTCATTCATTGTGATGTATGCCTCTTGTATTACATCTTAAGCTTGGTTTGGGTAATTGCATTTTTAAAGCTATGGAAACAGAGGCTCGTGAAAGGCATTCTAAAGAACGAGAGATTTTCACATTGTCTGAAATTGAAATTGAAATGTCTGAAAAATTTGATTCTAACAGAAAAAAGAGTAAATCTTACAAATTCGATAATTTGAACGGACCAAAGTTGAAAAAAATTATGTGCAAGCATAAACGCGCCGTCATCGTCATCCGCGAACTAACAATCGTCCGATTGTTAGTTCACTTGTCTACAAAGAGTTATACAATTTTCTGAAGCTTTTTAATGAGGTCTTGCAAAAGATCGGATCTACAAAGAGTGTTTTGTCAGACAAGGACACTCAGATTTTGAGTATCCTTGTCTGATTTGAGTTTCTGAGAGACTCAGATCAGACAAGGACAAGTAGTACTTTCGGCTACAAATACGGTATTTTCTCTAATAGTAGTGCACCCCGAGTTGGTGACGATTTTACGGTTTCCAAGCTTTTGCAAAAGCTCAACACTCTAATCCTCCACTAGATCTCATCGTCAGCTACATTTTCCGACCCCACATCGATAGGTTCTGATAAGCGGTTCTCGAGATTTCAAGGAATTTAGGCGACGCTCATCGTGCACTACTATTAGAGAAAATACGGTAACTTCCTTAACGCTATGGAAAACAGTATTGGACTGAATTGAACTAAAAACTGCGAAAGCCCAAGTAGCAATTGCACACGTCCGAGTTTTTCTGTCAACACATAAAGCGCTAGGATCTAAAATTCTTAGGAAATTCTCGCTAGGATATTCTTTCTGTCAGAAAGAATATCTTCATTCTGTCTTCAGTGAAATATGTAAGAGGATTAAACGCGAGGATGATCTCGAAATTTATCTATTTAGGCTAATGGCGGATTTGCTGATCCTGAAATGATCTAACTCAACCTGGCATAGCATCCTCCCGTACGACCTGAAAAGAGATAATTGTTTAACATATTGGCGACAAAACTCTTTTATACAATACAGTAATCGAACGAGAGCATCCTGTGGGATTTTTTAATTTACAAATAAGTTTATATTGAAAAAAAATTGATGGATTTTAATAAAAAAGAAAAAAGAAGGTAATCGAGAAAGTTAGCATTTAGAAAGTGATTAGTTGAGAGGAAACTGGAAAAATGACATTTAAAAAGTCATTAGTTGAGAGGAACTGACTCAAATTTTGTGTTATTAAACTAAAAGATATTCAATCAAATATCAAATTAATTTATTATATACAACTAGAAATAAATGATCTATTCAATTGTTGGAGATTGTGATTCTTTCGTAGGAGTGGTTGGAGTAGTGGCTGAAGAAGTCGATGCTGAGATCGAACATTCTGAAAAGCTTTTATAGCCAAAAAAAAAAGCTCAAATTTTGGTATTATTATCAGAAAATCTGTTGGGATAGCCGAGAAATTCGCGTTTTAAATTTACCCCAAAATTGGGTAACTGAAATGGCTGTGTGCCAGAAAGAATTCAGATAAAATAAGAAATTGATCAATATCTCCTCACCATTCTTCTTTTCTTTTGCCTCTTTTGCCTCTTTTGTCTCTTCCTTATTCTTCTTGTATTTCTTCATCCACACCTCTTTCCATTCTTTCAGCTTTTCATGCCATTCGGCCTCTTTTCTCTTGTGGAATTCTCTAAAGTTTGAAATTGATTTTTAAGCCAAAAAGTAGATGTACAGTACTGGACAATGAAATATGATATTTGAAAAACGATCGTCACGCGCATTGTAGCATGAGCCAGTGTCGAGAAAAACGCGTTCAAAGCTAGACTACGCAACACTTCGCACCGTCATTATGGGGGTGGGGTACTATTACAGTATTTACGGTATTTCTATGTGGAAGCTGAGTAGAAAAATCCAGAATTTTCATAGTTGGACCACAAGAAAGACTAAAACTAATTGTAAGGTGGTTTGCGGAGGAGCTAAAGTACTAGCATGCATTCTTGAAACGATTTTCTGCATTAGAAAAACTTTACGAGCACGGATTCAAAGTCAAAAATGCTAACAAGGAAACCTTCCCAAGTGACCCGCGAGTTACAATATGAGGTACACTACTGGACAATGAAATATGATATTTAAAAAACGATCGTCACTTTCGCGCGTCTGTAACTCCCTTGTCTTTGAGTTTAAACTATTAGTGTTATACATTTTCTGAAAGCTCTTTTCAAGGGCTACACAATGGTAATATTAATATTTAGAAATACGGTAAAGACAAGGGAGTTACAGAAGCGCGAAAGTGACGATCGTTTTTAAAATATCATATTTCATTGTCCAGTAGTGTATATTTTTGCTCAAATCTTGTAAACACTCATTTTCTAGTGCATTGAGGTTTTTGCCAGCAACAAAATGACTCGACAAGAATAGAAATTCAATGAAATAGAAATGGTGTCTTTACGTTAAACAAAAGAAAAAGTCTACTATAGAAAGTGAAGGGTTTAGTCGCTAACTTGTTTTTAAAAAGTATCGTAATACTTGCCAAGTACTAGTACCCTAAAGTCTCGAGTATAAGTTCATCCGAGTATAAGTTCTGCCTTAATTTACATTCGCTTTAATTGCTTTGAATTTCTTTTTGTTGGGTTTTTATACATTTTTATTGTTATATAAACTTTTATTATTGTTCTTGGAGCGCGGGATACTACAGGGTGACAGCCTATCACCATTGCTATTTGTTATGTGCATGGATACATCCAGACGATAGTGTTGAAGAAGACGCTGGAAAGCATCTCTTTCGACCGTCGACGTGGACTTTGGCCGGATGAAGAGGCCAGGGAGGGATCCATAAGACTGAGCACCGGAGAGGAGCAGGGCGGACGCGCCGAGCCACGCCCGGAGCAACAAATAACAGCATAAAATTGCTATAACCCTCAATAAATTTACTTCTATTATTGTTCTTAAAAAGCAAAAAAGTTATGCTGCAGCGGGGTTCGAACCCTCGACACACCGCACCGGAGACAGCCGTCAATTTGAATGCGAAAACCAAACAGAACTTATACTCGCGACCTTAGGGTAGTAGTAGTACTAAAAGTACAAGTACTAGTAATAGAACTAGTAGTACTAAAAGCTTTCAAAGCTAAAGCTCTAAAGCTTTCAAAGCTAAAACCTAAAAGCTCTAAAGTACAAATTTTTCATCTACTTTATGCTCGAAATTGTAAACACTCCCTCTCTGGCGCACTAAGCTTTTTAATTTCCTTTCAACAGTGAGTTGTTTCTGCGAGAAATATGATAAAACAAATGTGCTGAAAGGGGTTTGTTTAGGGTTGACAATCAGCACAAAATACACGCCAAGGAGACCTTAATAGACAAGTCTACAGTATACTCTCAACAATTTATCATCTACTTCTGTTTATGTTCCCTTTAACTTATCTTTGTTGACTCACTTCCAATCCTCTTCTTCTTGTTTCTTCACTTTTTTCAACTCTTCTCTCAACCGTTTCTTTTCTTTTTTCAATTCGGATTTCCTTTGTTTCAATTCATCGAATTTCTCTCTTCGTTTTTGTTTTTCTTCTTTCCAACCCTAGAAATTAAATTTGCATTTATCTATATGTCGTAGCCGATTATGAATGAAATTTTTTGGAAAATCTTTCTAGTAGAACGAGTAGGCAAATCTTTCTAGTAAAGCGAGTAGGCAAATCTCTCTAGTAAAGCGAGTAGGCAAATCTTTCTAGTAAAGCGAGTAGGCAAATCTCTCTAGTAAAGCGAGTAGGCAAATCTTTTTAGTAGTATCTTTCTAGTTTCTAGTAGAGCAACCCTTTAATGTATGTGGACAATATTATATCATCTTGTAGCGAATTAAATTCTGCGTCGATTGGTATCAAAATTTGTGCGTTTAGGTTAAAAATTGCCGGCGCTACAGCGTTTCATTCAAAATCGGCGGGGCTCCCGTAGCCGATTATGCATTTCAGTCGATTATGCATTTCAGCCGATTATGCATTTCAGCCGATTATCAATGAGTAAGTCTAGGAGCGTCCAACCATCAAGTATTTAGTATCATTCAACGCAGAATCATTGGTAATTATGTTAAATTTTTTAAATTAGAAAGATTGAATGAAAAGAAAAAAAATTAGAGCAAAAGAACTGTTTGTTCAAGAGAAAACTTTGAAGCCCCATAATTTTTTTTCTTTTTATCCAATCTTTCTAATTTAAAAAATTTAACATAATTACCAATGATTCTGCGTTGAATGATACCAAATCCTTGATGGTTGGACGCTCCTAGACCCACTCATTCATCGGCTGAATCGGCTGAAGTGCATAATCGGCTAAAATTCATAATTCATAAAAAAACTTTACTTCTTTCAATTTCTTCTCTTCTTGTTTTTGTTTTTCTTTCAATTGCGTCGCTTCCATTTTCTTTTGTGCCCACGTGCACTCAGCGTCGAATTTCTTGTTTGTCGCGGTGAAGAGTCTAAAAATTGGGGAATTTTATTGGAATTTTATTGGAATTCTATTGAAATTCAATAGTTTTTATGTTAATTAATGTAAAAAACGATTAATTCGACAAATTTCCACAAATTGTTAGATTTTTTGAACTGAAACAACATGAATCACCTCTTCACGCAGCATTGGTTCACAGAGCTAGATCAAAAGTTTCGTGATAAGTTTGGAAATGTTAGAAATCGGTAATGTTATCAGGAAAACAGGGAAAGCTTTCTAGAATATGTCTATTTTAGGAAATTACCGTAATTCTGGCTTTACCTTTATTTAAAATATCTAATTTGCATCTTTTTAGAATCCTTTCTGAATCAGAACAGTGGTTAGATTGGAATAAAAGTTGAACTGAGATTACGATAGTTTTTAGACATTTAGAAAACGTACTAGTTTGTACTAGTTTGTTCACTGTACTAGTTTGTTTTTAAATTCTTCTTTCTTCTCCCAAATGGAAAAAAAACAAACTTCTCGAACTTTTCCCCAATCTTGCCCGCTTCTCTCTCAATCACATGGCCAGCTGTGTTCGATTGATTCTCGATCGATCTACCCAACATCTCGAATCTTCTTTCCAATCGCTCACCACACTCTCCAAACATTCGCTCCAAACGAGCTGCATAAGAGGAATCTAAATAAGAGGAATTTTAGAGGATTTTAAAGGATTTTAAAGGATTTTAGAGAATTTTAGAGGAATTTTAGAGAATTCTTGGAGAATTTTAGAGGATTTTAAAGGATTTTAAAGGATTTTAGAGAATTTTAGAGCATTTTAGAGAATTCAGTCAGTTTTCTCTTTTTTTAAATGTTAATTCTTTGAAACGAAACCCTCTTGATCGTTTTTTTTTTTTACAAATTTAACAATTTACAAACTTGCAAACTACAAAAAGTTTATAAAATCTGAAAATTGACCGTTAGAATACGAAACGGGTATTAATACTTCCGCCAAAGCTCAATTTGCAAGCCAAATTTGTAATTTGTATACAGTCTTTCATCCCAACAAGTAAATATACCGTTATACGATACAATACAAATTCCATTTATGATATAATACATCATTTTCAAAAAATGTTCTCGGATTTGGATTCCTCCCTCTGAAAACCCGGCTCAACGCAATTACCCTCAAAGAAAGATGTCATCACCCAGCTAACTTCAACTTCAGCTATTTCAGCTAACTTAAACTAGCACTAGCTTAGCTTTAAAACGATTTCTAGAATATTTTAAGCAAAAGAAACATTTGATCAATGCTCTCCCAACAAACCTTGACAACTCGTCGATGGTTGATCGATATCCTGCTCATTTATCGCATTCTCTTCCTCCATCATCCTCTCATTTTCCTCATCTCGATTCATTTCCACTTTTGCCATCATCGCCACTTGATGATCGTCCACTGGACTTGTTTTTGGTGAGGTTTCTAGAAATCTACAATTGTTAACTCATCTCCTCTCACTAACCAATCGGGATTTTCCCGGATTTCTCCGCCGCCCATCCATCGCCGGTCAGCTTCGGCGCCAAACGAGTCGGTCTTTCTGAAATTTATTAAACTTTCATTTTTGTATATTTAGGCAACCTATCCCTCTTTTTCGAGATTTATATTTCGAGAAAAAGTTAATCCCACGGTTAGTTCAAGGAGAGATTCTTTCGTTAGAAATTCTTAGTTTTAGAAATTCCAGTCACCTCCAAGAAGTTTGTGTATAACTCTTTTCCAATAAGAACTGCCAGAATTTGGAATCGACTCCCCAGAGTCGATTCCAAATTCTGAGAGAGTCCAATAGTCTCGAAACATTGAAATTATCTGTAGATAATGTTGACCTTGAAGCTCTAGTGGATCCTTGACGTTATCTGTGCTGATTTGGTGGGAGATCCCCATCTCCCACCAAATCAGTTAAACGGCTGAGTATCTTAAAAAAGTGTCGTATATAACGCGGGGCTCGTCATTTTTGCGTCATTTTTTTTGCAATAATTTTTGCTAAAAGTTTGCTAATTTTTGCTAATCTTTTTCCCAAGTGTGCGTTTTAAAAAACGAATTGCTCGCGAGGAAGACACTCTAGATACGACTCGTCTAAGCTACAGTAGCCTCGTCGAATCGTCTGCTTACAGTAAAGACTTTTAGAAACATACAAATTTGAGTTTAATAATTTCCATAAATTTCAGAACTATCTACAGTGGGTTAAGTTAAGATCTAGCCAATACTAGGCTAGATCTTAACTTAACCCACTGTAGATCGTTGAGTATTGTGATTGTGATTGATCGTGTATGCAATAAACCCACCACTGGTAACTCCAGTTGGTATGAATTGAAATATGAAATGAAAGTTGGGGATTATTATTGTTATTGTTATTATTATTATTATTATTATTATTATTATTATTATTATCTCCAAAACCCGTTCCCACCTCCTCCACCGCCAACCACTTCCTCGTAGGCGGGCGGGGGTCCAAAAAAGTCAGCAACAGGGGAAAAGTTTTGCCCCGAAAATGGCGGAATTCGAGAGGGCTCTTCGGTTGAATAATCGGGTGGCTGAGTCATTTCAAATGCTGAAAGCTTAAAAAGTTACAGTTTATAGAAAGCGTTACATTTGAGATCACTAAATCAGTCTCCATGGGGACAAAAGTAAAAAATTGAAAAATCGAGCGCAACAGGGAGAGAGGGCGGCCCAGAAAGGGAAGGGTCTGTGGTCGACCCCGTCCGATCTGCCAAGTTGAGCAACGTCGGCGCGGGTTAGTCGTGGGTTCGACTCCCATGGGTTCCCCTCCGAGCGCCCCAGCCCGGCCATCGGAGTATCATCGGCTACGACAACTACACTTCTGCCTCAGTAAATGTGGAAGCAGGTTGTGATCTGAGCTAAGTGCGAAGACAGATCAAATCAACATCAACATCAGGGAGAGAGTAATCCAAAATTTTGAGCTCAAAGTAGTATCAATGGGGTTTATGTTGAGGTTGGAAACATAAAATATAAAAGTTTTAAGACTTAGTACACGGCCAAACTGTTTACAAATGAGTTTGTCTAGGATTTTTGGGATAAAATCAGACTCAAGATTCGTCAAAAGCAATAAATCCTTAAATTTTGTAAAATCAATCAAGTAAAACAAGTGAAAAGCTTATAAATAATTGAGAGTTTAAAATGAAATCATGTTTCGTTTTTTTTGAATGAATAGAGAATGGAAAAAAACTGAATTTACGGGTGATAAGAGGGGAAATTCGGAGGTGAAATTTCCGATACCATGGAAACTCTTGGGAAATTCTCTGGTTTCTATCGGAAATCAGAGAAATGGGCAGAAAAATGGAAATTAATGAATTCTATCGGGATTTGATTTGATTTACTGTAGACGGGATTGGGTTTGTTTTTCGATAGTAGTTGAAAAGCTGTTATAGAGCCGTTATTTTATAGTTATAGAACTTGAAAAGCTGTTATAGCTTTTTTTTTAAGCAAAGATATGCTAAGCTAGGCAAGCTCGATTAACCTAACTTTGACTTGGCTTCGCACTGATCAGATCTGATCCCGGATTTGCTTACAAAGTGTTTGAATCAGTCTGAAGCCAAACTTAAACCTGAACCAAACTTAAATCTGACTTGAACTGACCCTGTCTTAAAGGTTTATGGATATTCTGAAACAAGGCCAAGGCATAGCTTGGCCTGGTTCTGGACTTGCATAGCTTGGCCTGGTTCTGGACTTGCATAGCTTGGCCTGGTTCTGGACTTCCATACTTGCACCTGGTTCTGGACTTGTCCATAAGCAGGACCAGGAACAACCAGAGGCCAGGCTGAATCTGGGTCTGGTCTAGCCTGACCTACAAAAGTATCTGAATCAGCTAGAGGACAAAGTTGAACCAGATCAGGATTAGAGGACTTGGTCTGGCCTGGCCTGGCCTTTCTTACAGACTCTAGAACCTTGTTTGAACATCTTTATTTAGAAATACTTTTAAAAAGTTGACACAGAGATAATTTTGGGTAACAAGTTGTAAAATTCTCATTGAAAACAGCATGTAAAGTGAAATGTTGATTGAAAGAAATTGCATCATCAATAAAATCGAGCAACAAACTACTTTTGGGTGGATTTATTTTTGCGCTTGGCTTTGATCGATAACAGAAAGGTTCAGAGAATGAAAAAACTCGGTTGTGAACAGGCGATTTTCGAAAAAGAAATGACTCGTCGGGGGGTTTTCTCTTTTTTCATTCTTTTTGAGCTATTTGAGTGATTTCTATTTGCATTGAGTCGTCTTTCCCGGTTTCTTTTCCCGTTTCCTCTCCAAAAAACACCATGACCCTGATCACAAAACCAAGCACAAACTACATAAAAAAGGAGAAGATCAGTGTACGAGTTCAATTCGAGTTCAAATCTAAAAAGAAATTATGAAATTAGACAGACTCATGGCTAGTTAGCACTCTTGGCTTCAAAAGCTAGGCCTAAAGCTAGGTCTAAAGCTAGGCCTAAGGCTAGGCCTAAAGCTAGGCTTTTTCTTGTTTAAAAGTATCAAAAACTTATTTGAATGTCTTACAAATTGATATTTGACTTCTTAAATGAAATAATAATATACAAAAAGTCTATTTAAACAATTCTTTTAATCATTATCTTACTCTAAAACGTTTATTGAGGAAAAACTTTGAGCTTGAATCTTGGGGAAAGTAAAAGCCAAAGCTTTGACTTGATTTAGCCCGGTTCGGTCTATTGTCCGGCTTAGGTCCATTGTCCGGCTTAGGTCCATTGTCCGGCTTAGGTCTATTGTCCGGCTTAGGTCTATTGTCCGGCTTAGGTCTATTGTCCGGCTTAGGTCTATTGTCCAGCCCGGTCTATTGTCCGGCCCGGTCCATTGTCCGGTCCAGTCTAAGCCGGGTTTTGATCGTTTAACCCACGATTCGGCGAAATGTGTCACAAAAGAGGATTGTTTGAAAACAACTCAATAAAGCCTATTTCTTTTTTCATTTTTGATTCCAAACTGATCGCTCTAAACTGATCTAAAGTTTATTTTTTGGAAATCAGATCAGAAAAATTAGGAAATGATACAACGGAGAAATTGTTTATTTTTGCAACTAATTCCCCCGAAAAATCTAAACAAAAATGAGGAAATGAAAAAGATTTTGACTATATTTAAAGGAAAAAGTGTTCTGTTTAAAGAAAGGTTTTTTGGATTTATAAAAATGAACCGAAAACTCTTGGTGTTTTTGGCGTTGGCGCTTGTCTGTGCGGCGAGTCCTGAGGATGATTTTGAGAGTTGGTTTTTAGATTTTTATATTAAAACCTTTAGCTCCGAAATCAGATATATCTATACAGCTTTTGCACTGACAAAGAGCTCCAAAGGTTTTTGGTTTTTTTATAACTTCTTTAAGCTTAAGAAGCCTTTCTCACTAGTTCCACGACTTCTGCGTTTTCTAAAACGTGCTACCTTTCAAAAGCTATCGTAATCTTGGCTCTAGTTTTGAAATGATCGCTCTACTTTTGGTCTGATACTGTAAAGGTTCACTAAGGTACCAAAAGATACAAAAAGTGAACAGATTGGATAAAATTAAAGCCAAGATTACGGTAGCTTCGAAGAGTGAAAAGAAAATTTTGAAAAACGCACTACACGAGAAAGGAACACAATCTTCTTTCAACGCCAGCTTGTTTACAATTAGATAGATAAGGATAGGCAATTTTACATTGCAAATATTCCGTCTAAACAAATTACTTAACACATTCGTTGATACGGCTCACCAGTAGCCGTACGTAGATTTAGCACTCTTTTTGAAGCCGATTGAGCTGAAAATTTGCAATCATGGGTTTTCAAAATTCAAATTCGAATCCGTTATTAGTTTTTAAAGAAAACTGCTCTATTTTTAGATATTTCATTCGGTTTAATTACCCAAGTGCAACCCGACATCTAGAGCCGTGTGCCAGAAGATGCGTGATTACAAAAACGTGAAAATTTTAATCTTTACGTAATCGCGCGGCTTCTGGCACACGACCTATAAGGATAAAGGACAAAATCTAGGCTCGATTACGCCTTTTTCTCTCCAATTTAGTTTAATGATCCGAGTTTTTAGAGTTTTGTGATGGCCGTATTGGCTTGGGAATTAAAGTTGCTCAAAAACTAATAACGGATTCAGATTCTCCATCCCAGAATGCCTTCGGTTACAAATTTTCAGATCTACAACTAAGCTGTCGTCCAAAACGGCAGCCAAGACAAAAATGACTTTGTCGTGAATGTGTTAAGAGTGGAAAATCCATTTTCAGAGCCATGCGCTGATCCGAATTCAATCCGCAAGAAGGCCGGCAGCGATCCGCGATGTCAAGAGAATTGTGATGACGTCAAAGCGGGACGAGATCCAAATAACAAGGTACGGCAAATGTTTACTGTATTATCCAAATAATAGTTTCTTAAAAATCTCTTTTAGCCACGTAACAGGGTTACCATAACAAGTGTTACTGTAAGCCGAGCTTTGTCGAGCCGAGCTTTGTCGAGCCGAGCTTTGTCGAGCCGAGCTTTGTCGAGCCGAGCTTTGTCGAGCCGAGCTTTACGGACAAAGCTCGGCGAATCGTTCAAGTCAGAGAAATGCTTGGAAAGATCAAACTATCCTTAAAATATATAAAAATATCTTTTATGACTAAATCTATTATCTAAATTTTATAATCAATTTAGAAATGCAATCGAAAACTTTACCACAACGAGTGCTACTGTAAGCCGGGTTTCGTGCGTCAAGTGGCTGATGGAGAGAAATGTGTCGACAGAACGAAATGCTAAAATTTTTAATTCTTTGAGTAGAAAAGCTACAATGATAAAGGTTTAAAATTTTAAAAGACACAACTTTCCAATTGACTTTGCAGACAAACAATAATTTACAAAGAAAGACTTAAATTAGCATTTATGATTCATTTAAAAGAAACCATTTTTCTCAATTTTTATCATTCTCTCATCTTTCTCCATGATTCTCTTCTGGCTTCTCCTCCTTGGCGTCTTCTTCTCGCCACTTCACGCACAAGGTATAATGTTTGAAATTTTAAGTTTTGTTGTGTTTTACAGTTTTCTGTCCTTTAATTGAATACTTTTTAGCAAGTTTCATTCTAGTTGTTAGTTTCATTTTAGTTGGTTTCTAGTTTCATTCAAGTTTTTAACAAGTTTCATTCTAGAATGGCTGCCACGCAGCTTTCACAAAGTATAAAACGCTTAGTAGTCCGTTTTTAATGCCATTTATGGCCTAAATCAAAAAGTAGCTAGTAAAATTTCCAAAATTGAGTAGAAACCCCAGTTTTGTGCGGCTTTGCCACTTTAACTTGACTTTTAAGCTTTAAAAAATTCCTTTTTGCCTACTTACTTTATTATTTTTAGTTGGCGACGATGAATGTGCTAATATGAGCTACTTGGGCCGTGTACAGGTACTTTTTCATGACCTTGTTTTTCTTATATCATAGAATGTCATTCTAATTTGATCATTGTCAAAAGTTTTAAACCGTGTAGTTTTTGTGGGCAATTTTTACAACTATTTTAGTCGTAAAAGCACGCCTAGTACACTCAATTTTTTAGATTGTCAACTGTGTCAATGATTTTCTGCAGCGCCAAGCTCACTTCGAACGATATATACATGCGCCAGTGGAAAGAGTCGGTGTTTCGTTTGTATCTCGTGTAAATGGGAATTCTTTTAGTTGTCTGAAACGACAGAACAAATTCTGTTTTGTCGGTATGTTTGATTTATTGATTGTGTTTTGGGTTTGGGAAATTTGTAACGCAAACATGCTGGAGTCTTAAATTGTTGAATTATTCTTGAGTTATCTGAGTATATTAATTTGTTTCATGATTGTCTTTGATCGGGTAAAAACGTTCTCCATTTATCTATTAGTTACATCATTAATTTTTTTCTTTGGTTCTTGCTGGTTGTCATGAACAAATTTGTTTACGATATTTTGAATTCTTTTTGACAAAATTTGATAAATTATGTAGACTTGAGTGTTTGGATGTTCAGCACTTAGGACGTTCCACACATTTGACACCATCGACTTTTTCTCGGGGACAACCCGGCTTGGAGTAGCATCGTTGAGAAAATTCTAGCCTGTCGAGGGACATTTGTGCTTCCCATTTTAAAAATTGATGTAAAAAAAGAATTTATTTGACACACATGACAGAATATGACATATGATTTGAATTTCCTACAACTTTTTTTCTTGATTGTAGTTTGATAGGAAATTCAATCTAAAGGAAAAAACACATTTTTTTTTCATGAAAAAGTTAAAAATTTTGTCGACGAGGGAGTCGAACTCGGACCAAAAGTTTTGTAACCGAGAGCACTACCTCTCGGCTACGGGGATATTTTTCCGAGGCAAGCGAGGAAGCCTTACAAAAGGATTGCTAAAACTTTAAAACAAAATTCCTTGCGTTTTCAAGCCATTTAGGAAAACCAAAAGCGAATTCGGAAAGCCCGTGAAGAACTGAACAACATAGGACAGGTCTCGTTTTGGAATTCCACCTTAAGTTGGCGGCCTTCCCCAGTAAATGATGGATGGTCGTTCTCAGATAGCTTTCGATTTCAAGCAAGATTTTATCTTCAAACAAATCATTAAAGAAACTACATCAAAACCCATTTATTAGTACCCGAGTATCAAAAGATTCAAATGAAATATTGCAGAAAAGTGATCGTTTCGAAATATTGCAGAAAAGCGATTTGTTGCTCGAGGCTTCATTCAAACATTTGTCTCCGAGTCGGTTCCAATCATCGGCCTTTCCCATCCGAGTGCCTTCTCATATCCAACCATTGAAGTCATCGATTCCTCCATCTAAACATTAGCAATTAGTTTGTTCAAGGAGTATTTCAAAAATCCCACCTCAACCTGTGCTTTCTTTTCAGGGCTACGCGTTGTCTTCTTGATCCAACGGTAGAAACCTTTCTTTTCGCGTGCCTAAACAAGATAAAATGAAAAGTATCGTAAATTTGCCTACAGGTTGACGAGTTGAGAGAGTCTTTTTCAAGTTTGGCGCAAATCTCAGCAACATTCTGCTTTGGCATCAATGATTCTTGCCTAAAAGGAATTAGTCGAGAATCAGAATATTCAATGCTATAATAAGGATCAAGAATATCAACTTCTTTTCCTGATTGACAGAGGCATTAAGAAGATCCGCTGGCTTCGTTGGAGAATGCTGCTTGGCTGGCTTTTCTTCAACCGTCATCTAAAGTAAGAAAATAACTGATAAGATCATATTATCTTACATGAGGAGCGGAAAACGATCGATCAACTGCTGGGAGGCTTTTGCGAAGGAATCGACGAACACGCTGCACATGAGTGACTGAGGGGAATGTTCTGTAAACAAAAATATACTAGAGATTAAATAAGCAAAGCTTACTGTAGCGGCGTCTTGAAAATCGGTGGTCCTTTGCTTATGGGGACTTTCTTGATTGGCATCTTCTTGGTCATTGATCACATCGTCCAAGCTCATCCGCGAGACAGCACTCTCTAAAGAAAATTTACAAATTACGGTTAACAAAAACAAAACAAACCAGTTTGAGCAATTGGACGAAGCTCGGGAGCCAAATACTCGATTCGACCACGTCAGCCATTTCAGCGAAGTATTCGGCAGCATTCAACATCGCTGTCTCTTCATTCTTCTCATCATTGCCACGTGGGGTGATTGCGTTGTCCGTTTGTGGTGGAGACAAACTGAACAGCGATTCAAGAAAATTAAAAAAAAATGATTCATACATGACACGTTTTGGAGTGGATGTGATTGGTGAACGATATGGTGGAATCGATCGCTCGAACGCCTTTTGAACAGCCAATTTCCAATCGAGTCCATTCTCATGAAAGCCCCACAAGTGAACATTGCCAAAGCTGTAGCGCAGTTTGATGTGAGTGCGGTACTAAAAAACAGTTAAACGTTCAACGAAACAAATAATATTTTTCCAAATCACCCACATAGGGATTTGCTCCTCGTTTATCAGTGACACATTCGATCGATTTAGCTGCACCAACATCAATGATGTATCCCTAAACAAAGAAAAATTTCTTAAAGCGATAAAATATCCAACAACCTTTGTTGCCTTTCATGTAAATGACGAGAAATCCACGGCGAGTGAGCGTGAGTGTACGAGTTTTCACATTTGAATACCACTCCCAAAGAAGCGATTTCGCTTTAACATAGATGACGAGTTGTCCTTCGAGGTAAACATCTTCTACGGGCACACGCCAACGCTCACGATCAGGTAACACAAGTTTCTAAAGAAAGTAAAGGTTAAAGTATTAAAGAAAACTTACACCAACATTAAACTATTGACAGCAAGATTAAACTAGCTGCTGAGTTCAAAGTGAACCAATAAACAAAAGAAAATATAGTAAATCAAAAAGAAACCTTGTCGAACGTATTCGAAGCAGCATAGGTGAGTGCGGGAGTTGACGAAGGGATGATTGGCGGTGGAATTGGCGATGATTTGAGCGGACGAAGTGGTCGATTTGCCATTGAATCTCCATCATGTTGATCGTTGTTTTCCCAATTCGTTTCTCATCTTTGAAGACGATTCGCGCTGCAAGTTGATGGTTGAATAGAAGATAATATGCGTTTCCCCCCAATTCGCTCGGTTATAAAACATCAATAAATGCAAATCAATAAATGTAAATGCTTTAGTTTAAATTTGCAATTGAATTCTGCTATTTAAATGCCGGCTCTCTATTTGTACCTTTTTCAGGACCTAGTTAGAAAAGCGCGTTCGTTTCAGCGCGAGTCATTTCGGCGCCGCGCAAAAAAAGGCTCGAAAACGTTCATCTCAGCACCGCCTAAAAAAGGCCAAAAGACGTTCATTTCAGCGGCGCACGAAAAAGGCTTGAAAACGTTAATTTTAGCGCCACTAGATTTTTATATTCTTGATTCTCGCCTTGTTTTTGCATGTTTCTATGGTTTCGCTAATGTTTTTTGCACTTTTTCATCTATTACACCTAGAGCGCGGCCATATGCATCAAATGCGCGCAAAAACGACCAAAATTAGCTCGGGTCGTCCATTTTTTAGAGAAAAATGTAGAAATTTGCCACTTTTATGATAAATGCCCCCAAAATCTCGTTTTTTAATACTTATTTTGTATTTTTCTTCTACAATTAGCTTATAGATAACGTATTTCTTTGTTTAGGTTTTGGGTGACGCTCGAGAATCATCCACAAGGAGCACACCTGAGTCAAACAAGCGTGTAACGTTTTCTTCTTTGTTTTCTAGGTTTTTATATCGGCTTTTTGATTCAAAAGGAAGAATTTTTATCTTTAGGAGCCACTGATTCCACTGATTTCCGCAAATTCGTAGTTGATTGCTCTACTTTGTCGCCGATTTCAACGGCTCTTGCTGCAAATAGGTAACTTTTTTGTTTTCTTCGTTATTTTGTTTGATAGAGCGCCAAGCTCACTTCGAACGATATATACATGCGCCAGTGGAAAGAGTCGGTGTTTCGTTTGTATCTCGTGTAAATGGGAATTCTTTTAGTTGTCTGAAACGACAGAACAAATTCTGTTTTGTCGGTATGTTTGATTTATTGATTGTGTTTTGGGTTTGGGAAATTTGTAACGCAAACATGCTGGAGTCTTAAATTGTTGAATTATTCTTGAGTTATCTGAGTATATTAATTTGTTTCATGATTGTCTTTGATCGGGTAAAAACGTTCTCCATTTATCTATTAGTTACATCATTAATTTTTTTCTTTGGTTCTTGCTGGTTGTCATGAACAAATTTGTTTACGATATTTTGAATTCTTTTTGACAAAATTTGATAAATTATGTAGACTTGAGTGTTTGGATGTTCAGCACTTAGGACGTTCCACACATTTGACACCATCGACTTTTTCTCGGGGACAACCCGGCTTGGAGTAGCATCGTTGAGAAAATTCTAGCCTGTCGAGGGACATTTGTGCTTCCCATTTTAAAAATTGATGTAAAAAAGAATTTATTTGACACACATGACAGAATATGACATATGATTTGAATTTCCTACAACTTTTTTTCTTGATTGTAGTTTGATAGGAAATTCAATCTAAAGGAAAAACACATTTTTTTTTCATGAAAAAAGTTAAAAATTTTGTCGACGAGGGAGTCGAACTCGGACCAAAAGTTTTGTAACCGAGAGCACTACCTCTCGGCTACGGGGATATTTTTCCGAGGCAAGCGAGGAAGCCTTACAAAAGGATTGCTAAAACTTTAAAACAAAATTCCTTGCGTTTTCAAGCCATTTAGGAAAACCAAAAGCGAATTCGGAAAGCCCGTGAAGAACTGAACAACATAGGACAGGTCTCGTTTTGGAATTCCACCTTAAGTTGGCGGCCTTCCCCAGTAAATGATGGATGGTCGTTCTCAGATAGCTTTCGATTTCAAGCAAGATTTTATCTTCAAACAAATCATTAAAGAAACTACATCAAAACCCATTTATTAGTACCCGAGTATCAAAAGATTCAAATGAAATATTGCAGAAAAGTGATCGTTTCGAAATATTGCAGAAAAGCGATTTGTTGCTCGAGGCTTCATTCAAACATTTGTCTCCGAGTCGGTTCCAATCATCGGCCTTTCCCATCCGAGTGCCTTCTCATATCCAACCATTGAAGTCATCGATTCCTCCATCTAAACATTAGCAATTAGTTTGTTCAAGGAGTATTTCAAAAATCCCACCTCAACCTGTGCTTTCTTTTCAGGGCTACGCGTTGTCTTCTTGATCCAACGGTAGAAACCTTTCTTTTCGCGTGCCTAAACAAGATAAAATGAAAAGTATCGTAAATTTGCTTACAGGTTGACGAGTTGAGAGAGTCTTTTCAAGTTTGGCGCAAATCTCAGCAACATTCTGCTTTGGCATCAATGATTCTTGCCTAAAAGGAATTAGTCGAGAATCAGAATATTCAATGCTATAATAAGGATCAAGAATATCAACTTCTTTTCCTGATTGACAGAGGCATTAAGAAGATCCGCTGGCTTCGTTGGAGAATGCTGCTTGGCTGGCTTTTCTTCAACCGTCATCTAAAGTAAGAAAATAACTGATAAGATCATATTATCTTACATGAGGAGCGGAAAACGATCGATCAACTGCTGGGAGGCTTTTGCGAAGGAATCGACGAACACGCTGCACATGAGTGACTGAGGGAATGTTCTGTAAACAAAAATATACTAGAGATTAAATAAGCAAAGCTTACTGTAGCGGCGTCTTGAAAATCGGTGGTCCTTTGCTTATGGGGACTTTCTTGATTGGCATCTTCTTGGTCATTGATCACATCGTCCAAGCTCATCCGCGAGACAGCACTCTCTAAAGAAAATTTACAAATTACGGTTAACAAAAAACAAAACAAACCAGTTTGAGCAATTGGACGAAGCTCGGGAGCCAAATACTCGATTCGACCACGTCAGCCATTTCAGCGAAGTATTCGGCAGCATTCAACATCGCTGTCTCTTCATTCTTCTCATCATTGCCACGTGGGGTGATTGCGTTGTCCGTTTGTGGTGGAGACAAACTGAACAGCGATTCAAGAAAATTAAAAAAAATGATTCATACATGACACGTTTTGGAGTGGATGTGATTGGTGAACGATATGGTGGAATCGATCGCTCGAACGCCTTTTGAACAGCCAATTTCCAATCGAGTCCATTCTCATGAAAGCCCCACAAGTGAACATTGCCAAAGCTGTAGCGCAGTTTGATGTGAGTGCGGTACTAAAAAAACAGTTAAACGTTCAACGAAACAAATAATATTTTTCCAAATCACCCACATAGGGATTTGCTCCTCGTTTATCAGTGACACATTCGATCGATTTAGCTGCACCAACATCAATGATGTATCCTAAACAAAGAAAAATTTCTTAAAGCGATAAAATATCCAACAACCTTTGTTGCCTTTCATGTAAATGACGAGAAATCCACGGCGAGTGAGCGTGAGTGTACGAGTTTTCACATTTGAATACCACTCCCAAAGAAGCGATTTCGCTTTAACATAGATGACGAGTTGTCCTTCGAGGTAAACATCTTCTACGGGCACACGCCAACGCTCACGATCAGGTAACACAAGTTTCTAAAGAAAGTAAAGGTTAAAGTATTAAAGAAAACTTACACCAACATTAAACTATTGACAGCAAGATTAAACTAGCTGCTGAGTTCAAAGTGAACCAATAAACAAAAGAAAATATAGTAAATCAAAAAGAAACCTTGTCGAACGTATTCGAAGCAGCATAGGTGAGTGCAGGAGTTGACGAAGGGATGATTGGCGGTGGAATTGGCGATGATTTGAGCGGACGAAGTGGTCGATTTGCCATTGAATCTCCATCATGTTGATCGTTGTTTTCCAATTCGTTTCTCATCTTTGAAGACGATTCGCGCTGCAAGTTGATGGTTGAATAGAAGATAATATGCGTTTCCCCCAATTCGCTCGGTTATAAAACATCAATAAATGCAAATCAATAAATGTAAATGCTTTAGTTTAAATTTGCAATTGAATTCTGCTATTTAAATGCCGGCTCTCTATTTGTACCTTTTTTCAGGACCTAGTTAGAAAAGCGCGTTCGTTTCAGCGCGAGTCATTTCGGCGCCGCGCAAAAAAAGGCTCGAAAACGTTCATCTCAGCACCGCCTAAAAAAGGCCAAAAGACGTTCATTTCAGCGGCGCACGAAAAAGGCTTGAAAACGTTAATTTTAGCGCCACTAGATTTTTATATTCTTGATTCTCGCCTTGTTTTTGCATGTTTCTATGGTTTCGCTAATGTTTTTGCACTTTTTTCATCTATTACACCTAGAGCGCGGCCATATGCATCAAATGCGCGCAAAAACGACCAAAATTAGCTCGGGTCGTCCATTTTTTAGAGAAAAATGTAGAAATTTGCCACTTTTATGATAAATGCCCCAAAATCTCGTTTTTTAATACTTATTTTGTATTTTTCTTCTACAATTAGCTTATAGATAACGTATTTCTTTGTTTAGGTTTGGGTGACGCTCGAGAATCATCCACAAGGAGCACACCTGGAGTCAAACAAGCGTGTAACGTTTTCTTCTTTGTTTTCTAGGTTTTTATATCGGCTTTTTGATTCAAAAGGAAGAATTTTTATCTTTAGGAGCCACTGATTCCACTGATTTCCGCAAATTCGTAGTTGATTGCTCTACTTTGTCGCCGATTTCAACGGCTCTTGCTGCAAATAGGTAACTTTTTGTTTTCTTCGTTATTTTGTTTGATAGTGATTGGGGAATCAAGAACCACAAATGTTCAATTGGGTTGAGATCCAGTGAGTAGGGAGGTGGATTGATCAATTTAACACGATTTTCCGCAAACCATCCGGGCAGGCGAGCTCTGGTACCATTTTGAAGTGTCACCAACCGTCCCATCGTCAGTCTCGACTTGTGTTCCGGGTCGTTGTCCTGGTGAAGCATCCATCCGGGAGGCATCGTTTGATTGGCAAAGGGAAGCATTTGGGTCTCCATAATATTCTTGTAAGCCACAGCATCCATCCTCGATTTCACGTAGACTAACGGACCTACCGAAGTTGGACGACACGTGATTGGGCAAAAGTTATATACCGATGAGACAAAAATCAATTGATTTCACCGGGATGGAAATCATCTTATTCGGCGACCGACTGGAAAGCGATACGCACTTAAGTACATTCGGCTTACCGCGAAATTCAACGGCGGAAACATAATGTGATGGTGTAAGAACCTTTTTAGTATTTTGCTAGCTAAGTTTTTTCTTTAGGAGCGATGTCTCGAAGGTCCGTTAGTCTACTCGAAATCGACGAAGGACGCTGTGGCTTACAAGAATGTTACAGAATACTTGCTGGTTTATGGATGGGACTTTTTACGCAACACCGGAATCAATTTTCAGCAATGGGAGATCCTGTATTTTTGCTCCACCATATAGTGGATGTTCTCCTGTGTGGTTCCGCATCACCGTTTCAGTGAAAGTGAAGAGTTGACACACTTCTTGATGAATCACGATAAAAATGGAATTAAGCATCAAAGCTTCAAGCCATTTCAAATCTTAGAGTTCATTTGTGCATCCCCTAGCGGGGACGCGTTCCAAAATTTTTTCGAGACACTGTTGGAAGGTCTCGGGGTTAATGCTAACCTCAAACTTGGGTAATTAAACCGAAGAGAAACGTCTCTGTCGCGCTATGTCGGCGAGCCGTGTGCCAGGTGCCGCTTTTTCTTACGAAACACACGAAAGGTACACACCCTGGTGTCGTCTCGCGTCTCTGCGAGGGCTGATGCTCTCTCGTGTTCGCTGGTGGCCGCCTATTTCCGCCATCTCTCACGGCAGCACACGGTTTGGAAGTTTGCCTTACAATAACCAAAAATTTGTTAGTACTTTGAAGAAGAAACATTCGTAAAATCATCATTGAAGACTTTTCTCAACCATCTGCGATCAACTTGATCAAGCTCAACGTTTCAAAAGCGCTGAAGTCCAAAAAAGTTCTAGATGATTTTCCTAAGACAAAACATAAAAACTATAAAAAATATCAACGAATTGTCATTTGAAACTAGAAAAGACCAGATCGAAAGCTTGTCTTATGAGTCACAATTTTCATCTCTCTTCTAGATTTCTCCCCAAACGATAAGAGCCTTATTGGGCAATTTTACGGCACTTTGTGTAAATTTCTCGACCTAAAAGGAGTATTTTGAGGATGAATGAATGCCTTAGCAAAATACCCAAATCACCTAACATTCCCCACTTTCCCTTTGTAAATCTCTGAGTTGCGGGAATCCGTGCTTCAATATTACACAGGGTGTCTCAAAACAAGACGTTTTCAAGTCGAATTTCCTCAAAAGTTCTAATGGCTGCAGGTGACCGCTTTGGTGTCAAAAGTCTTTATTTGTGCTCAAGAATTTTTCATGTTTTTTCTCTTTTTCATCATATCTTGATAACCCTGTACATGAGAAGAAGATTATGGGTACCACCATGGCTCCCACCGCCACAACAGCCAGCACCAGCCATGCCACCACCAGCCATGCCACCACCAGCCATGCCACCACCAGCCATGCCACCACCAGCCATGCCACCACCAGCCATGCCACCACCAGCCATGGCACCACCAGCCATGCCATCACAAACATTTGTATTTTACTGAGAATTTGCATGGCAACATGGCAAACGAATTGTAACATGGCAAATGACTCATTTCCTTGCCATTTCTTGAGTGAAAAGTTCGCTTGCTCGTTTTTTTGCCTTTTCATTGATTGATTGAATTTCGCCTTGACTAGCAACGATTTAGCTCTCGATCGATCATTTATCTTCTGCATCAGTACGGTCCATATGGAGAGTATTTGTTTTTCATGAAATATGAATGAATAATTGTTTTGGAATAAATAATACTTATGTATGTATGTGCACGAAGGTCAAAAATCATCCGAGGCTTTAGCCGTAAACTCGAATCTTTTTTTTGGGTCGATCATTTCAGAAATCATAAACAAGTAGAGGTAGCAAAAAGGAATTGCATTTTTGCATTTTGCAGGAAAGGGAAGCGCATTTTTGTGGATCCGGCTAGAGACTTGGGAATCAATTTTTGTCTAAATTAAAGAAATTTCTCCAGCATATAGTGAATGATCTCCCGTGTGGTTCCGCGCCACCGTTTCACTGAAAGTGAAGTAAAGAGTTGTCACACTTCTTGATAAATGATGGAATAAAGCGTCAAAGCTTCAGCTAGTTTTGCATTCTTAGGGTCATTTGTGCATCCCCTAGCGGGGACGCGTTCCAAAATTTTTTCGAGACACTGTTGGAAGGTCTCGGGGTTAATGCTAACCTCAAACTTGGGTAATTAAACCGAAGAGGGGGTCACTGTCCCGGTATGTGGACGAGCCGTGTGCCAGGTGCCGCTTTTTCTTACGAGACGCACGAAAGGTACACACAGTCGTGTCGTCTCGCGTCTCTGCGAGGGCTGATGCTCCCAAGTCTCTAGCCGGATCCACAAAAATGCGCTTCCCTTTCCTGCAAAATGCAAAAATGCAATTCCTTTTGCTACCTCTACTTGTTTATGATTTCTGAAATGATCGACCCAAAAAAAGATTCGGAGTTTACGGCTAAAGCCTCGGATGATTTTTGACCTTCGTGCACATACATACATAAGTATTATTTATTCCAAAACAATTATTCATTCATATTTCATGAAAAACAAATACTCTCCATATGGACCGTACTGATGCAGAAGATAAATGATCGATCGAGAGCTAAATCGTTGCTAGTCAAGGCGAAATTCAATCAATCAATGAAAAGGCAAAAAAACGAGCAAGCGAACTTTTCACTCAAGAAATGGCAAGGAAATGAGTCATTTGCCATGTTACAATTCGTTTGCCATGTTGCCATGCAAATTCTCAGTAAAATACAAATGTTTGTGATGGCATGGCTGGTGGTGCCATGGCTGGTGGTGGCATGGCTGGTGGTGGCATGGCTGGTGGTGGCATGGCTGGTGGTGGCATGGCTGGTGGTGGCATGGCTGGTGGTGGCATGGCTGGTGCTGGCTGTTGTGGCGGTGGGAGCCATGGTGGTACCCATAATCTTCTTCTCATGTACAGGGTTATCAAGATATGATGAAAAGAGAAAAACATGAAAAATTCTTGAGCACAAATAAAGACTTTTGACACCAAAGCGGTCACCTGCAGCCATTAGAACTTTTGAGGAAATTCGACTTGAAAACGTCTTGTTTTGAGACACCCTGTGTAATATTGAAGCACGGATTCCCGCAACTCAGAGATTTACAAAGGGAAAGTGGGGAATGTTAGGTGATTTGGGTATTTTGCTAAGGCATTCATTCATCCTCAAAATACTCCTTTTAGGTCGAGAAATTTACACAAAGTGCCGTAAAATTGCCCAATAAGGCTCTTATCGTTTGGGGAGAAATCTAGAAGAGAGATGAAAATTGTGACT